GAGCACCATCCCATACACCAAGAAGTTGTGGGTTCGATCCCTGGTCAGGGTGCATACTCAGGTTGTGGGTTCAATCCCCCAATCGGGGCATATATGGGAGGCAATCAATTGACGTTTCTTCCTCACATTGATGTTTCTCTCTCTCTCTCTCTCTCTCTCTCTGCCCCCCTCTCTCTTTCTCACTCTTCTTCCCTCTCTAAAATCAATGGACATATCCTCAGGTGAGAATTTTTTTTAAAAAAGGGTAAGCCCAGAGTCTCTATGTAACACTACCCCCAGATAACTTCTCAATGAAGAAAATAATCTTTAACATACATATGTAAATATATAAAGACTTATAGAGATAAATCTATAAATTTATAGTAAAAATAACCTGGCAAACACCTTACTTAAGTGATCAAAGTTAACATTATCAACAAGACCAAGTGACATCAAGCGCGTCCTGATGTGATGTACTGGGGAGGACACAATACCGTTTCTGTGGAATTCCTGCCAAATACGCATGACCGGAACACAATGATGATGGCACATACCAACCCAAGACAAGGAGCATCCCACAAAACAACGGACCTGTCCTCTCCGAAACTGCTCCCGTTTGCCATAAACACCAAGAAAAGCTGAAAAAGTATTCCAGCTTCAAGCAAGCTAAAAAGATGTGAACATTAAATGCAATGTATATGATCCTGCTTACAGAAAAAATATCACTCCTTTTCCCCACCCTCCAAGAAACACAGCTAACAAGGAAATTATTGTGGCAACTGGTGAAATTTGAACAGAGACTGTACACTCGTTCATTGCACTTGATTAGCTTTAAATTTCCTCATTTGTACAGATATTAGAGGAGACAATACTCTTGTTCTTAAGAAATCTACATAAAAGCGAATGGGACCAAATGGCCCTGATGTCCGCACTTCTTCGCAGCGCAGTGATAAGTGCCGCAGGAAGGGGATTTACCCTACCATCAGACAGGGGAAAGCTCTTGCAAAATGTTAACAAGTGGGGAGTCGGGGAGAAAGGCACACAAGAGTTCATCTGACTACTCATGAAACTTTTCTGACCATCTGAAATTTTTCAACATAGAAACTTAAAAATTAAAATCAACACACACATGAAATTTCCTCTTTCAAAGAGCAAGTTTCCCTTATATCTTACTTTTATTGTCCAAACATGCAACTTCCTGTCATATCACCTGCACTGGCTCTACTACTTCAATTAGTTCACCTTAAAATTTTTAATGAGTACTTGTTAGGTATCTAAAGACATAATAATTACCACCAGAGAGACCTAACTAAAGCCTGGTTTGTTTCTTTCACCAGTATGTCTTGAGAGAGCTCTTGAGCTCCTGCTCTGTAGGCACTGAGAAAACAGCAGAGAAGAGATAAGACAAAATATGCAGAGAGGGGAACTCTGGCCTGATGGCGGCTGAACACATTTTTAACAGGATTTAACTAATGGAACGTCAACTACACCATGACAGCATTGATGACTCTCACTAGTGTCAGAAAGTCACTAACACTGACATAAACCCTCTGGTTGAGGTCACTGAGAAGTGGAGTCTAAAAGACATAAAGGGAAACTAGCATATTTCACCATGTATAATGCGCTCCTGTGTATAATGCGCACCCATGTTTTTGTGCGCGTTAGACACAGGATTATTATGCCCATGGCATGTAATCGTTATACCCATGTATAATGCACATCCTTATTTTTCCCTCAAAAATTTGGGCAAAAAGAGTGCATTATACTCGGCAAGTTATGGTATTTATAGGATGGAGAATCAGGACATCTCTGGACACCTGTGAGTGAGAACATTATAGACAATGTGATGATTTAGGATGAATATGGCTAATATTTACTGAGTTTGCATGATGTGAGGTAGAGCTTAAGTTAACAAACTCTTAATTCCCAGACCAAAGAAAGCTAATGGAGTTCATCACCACCAAACCAATATTACAAGAAATGTTAAAGAAACTTCTTTAAGAAAAAGAAGGAAAAAATTTAAAATATGAATAATAAAATGGCAATAACTACATATTTATCAATAATTACTTTAAGTGTAAATAGATTATATGCTCCAATCAAAAGATGTAGGGTGGCTGAAAGGCAAAGAAAGCAGGAACCACGCACATGCTGCCTGTAAGAGACCCGCTTCAGATCAAAAGACACATGGAGACTGAAAGTAAAGGGATGGGAAAAGATGTTTCACACAAATGGAAATGAAAAAAAAAGCTGGGGTAGTAATACTTATATAAGACAAAGTAGACTTTAAAGCAAAGACCAGAACAAGAGACAAAGAAGGACATTTCATATACAGCAGTCAAGATATGGAAGCAGCCCAAGTATCCATTGATAGATAATTGGATAAAGGAGATGTGGTACATATATACAATGGAATATTACTCAGTCATAATAAAGAATGAAATCTTGCCATTTGCAACAACACGTATGGTCCTAGGGGATATTATGCTGAGTGAAATATGCTGGATGGAGAAATACAAATACCATATGATTTCATTTATGTGTGGGATCTAAAAAACAAAAAATAAATGAGCAATCAAAACAGAACCAAACTCACAGATACAGGGAACAAACTGATGGTTGCCAGAAGGGAAGCGGGTTGGGGGGCTGGGTGAAAAAGGTGAAAGGGTTAAGAAGTACAAATTGTCAATTACCTAAGAAATAATCACAGGTACATAAAGTACAGCTTAGGGAATATAGTTAATATGTAGTAACTATGTATGGTGCCAGGTGGGTACTACACTTATGAAGGTGGATCACTTTATAAGTTATTTATAAATGTCTAATAACCACTGTGCTATCTGTATACGTGAAACTAATATAGTATTAAATGTTAATTGAATTTTTTTTAATGTAAAACAAACAAACAAACAAAAACCCTCTTAATTAAGTAGAAAGGGAAGCAGAGGGACCGCAGAATCCCCTGCCACTCCGGATGCTGCCTGAATCCGGCCTGGGGAGTGTCAGGGGGTCAGCAAAGAAGCAACTCCAGGCTTGAAGGGCATTGATTTAAAGTAGAAATGAACGTAGTACCTTTGATCATTGTCTCAGTATCATACTGTATTTATTCTCTGTTGCATCTGACTGATACATTGCTTTGCTTTTGTGTGTGGAATTGTAAATATCTTATCCTCAACTTGTGTTATTTCAAGTCAATAAGCAAAAGTTTTTAAAGACAGACACATTGTCTGAGGGTCTGGTCACACATAGGAGACGGCTCTCAGTCACCTGGCTTCCGCTTGAGCACCCGATCACGCAGTCGAGTCTCTAAAACATTCACATCCTTAGCTTGGGTTTCAAAAGACTTCAAATAATAGTGATACTGATAGGCTAGAGACTAACAATGGTCTTCCTGATGGAACTATTTGGGGGGTAAACAGAAAGCTGGACTGAAGAAATTTTTCCTTTTTCTGAATTGTTAAGAGAAGCATGCTGCATACAGGCATGAGTGAAAACTAGAGCTGTAGTTTTCGACTCTTTATGCCCAATTTGAATTTGGTCCTTTCCATTTGACCTTTGATCAATTAACTACTTGTCAGTAGAGGTGTAACCAAGCTGTATAAATACCAAACTACTTTACTTAGAAAGAAATTATTCATAGGGGACATAAATGGTGAGGGACAGAGAGTTGACTTGGGGTGGTGGACACACAATACAATATACAGATGATATATTATAGAAATGTACAGCTGAAACCTATACAATTTTATTAAGCAATGTAGCCCCAATAAATTCAATAAAATGAAAATAAATGAATAAATAAATAAATATGTAACCCAACCAGGTGATAACTATAATCATTTAACTTGAGAAAACATATACTTGCTTTGAACATTCACAACTTATTTCATGTGTGTTACACTTAAACTTTTAGATCCTAAAAGCATGTCTTACAATTATTCTTATATCCCCTGAAATACCAACTACAGTAAAAATATAAAATATAAATATCACATAAAATATCAAAGTGACTAACTTAAAAATATGCCAAAAATGTAACTAGCTTATCCTGAAAAACACAATTGCAAACATAAACTTATCTCAGTATTTCTATTACACTAATCAACGTCTTCTAACATTCCCTTTGAGTTAAATATAGCATTTAAAAAATCATGTGACCGCATGTGATATGCAAAGCTCTTATAAACTAGCAGGAGTAAAATCCCATTCTGATGAAACAGACCTAAAAAGAAAACATTTAAATTTCATTTAATGGGCTATCCATGGTGAAACTATTACTTCTAATTTCCTATGAAATATATAATTTTGGTTAATTCTGCTATTAGTACCTGACTCAGCCATTTCTCATGTTCAACTCTCTGGTTCCTTTTCAACCTAAGACCTAATTACTTTTCTCCTTATTCTTTTTATCAACATGGTCTGTCATCCTCTTCCCCACCTCCATGTCCCTAAATATGCAACTTTTAAAAATAAAATCAATCTATATTATTATATTAAACATATTAATATATTATGTTAAATATATATTTATATACATAAATATAGGTACGTTGCAAAAACATGTTCTTGATATAGAAACTGATGTCTATGTGAATTGAACATGATGAAAGCATCTTTTATACAGAAATTTGCAAATATTAATAGACTCTGATGTAACTGCATCAAAGAATTGCTACATTATAATCTGTTGCTAGAGAGAGAGAGATTCATCCTAGAGGATTAGGAACTTCTAAAATTGAAGTCTACTTGTAGTTCAAGAGCAGGAAATCTTGGAAGACATCAATTCCCATTCAAATGGAAAATAGAGTCATTTTGAAATAACAGGATACTGAAAATGAAACTCAAATAATATCTATAGAATTGTTATTTTAGAAAGTTCTTACTCAAAGTGACTTGTCTTAGATTAGCAATAAAAATTATTTATTCTCTTGGACCTCAATCAATAAGAATAAACACTGCTCAAAGTAAGATAATAATACTTTCACCCTTTCTAACAAGCCTTTAGTCTTTGATGTACATACCAACAGTGTGAATAGGTTTCCTGTAGGGCATTAGGCCAAAATTGTACTGAAAAATCCCTCTGGCGTGGAACAGAGGCAAAGTAAACCCCATGATCTCCTGGAATTTATCCTGCATGGTTCGAAGCAACGAGCCTTCGGGGTTGCTCACTTGTTTAAATAGTTCATTTTCACCAAAAGAAAACACTGGAACCAAATGGGCACTACAAATAACAAAAAAAAAGGGGGGAAGGGATAAGAATTTTAAATGAAAAGGATTGAAAGATGTTATTCTGTCCAACTGACTTTGCAGTGGGCTTCTCACAATTGTTTAATGTTCCCTCCCTACACGGCTAACTTCGTGTCCCATGCATTGAAACTCACTTATACTTGAATTTCTTTCGGGGGGCGGGGTACATCAGCACTCCAGCCATGGTTGGAATTCTATTCCACAGAAAATCAAGGTTCCAGGAAGCTCTTTCATATATAGCTTTGGCCATGGTTCCTTTGTTCCTTTGGCTGGAAATCTTGTATTTTTGTGTGTGTGCTTCACTTTCAAAGACAATTAGTTACTGGATGCCATAGCACTGAGATGTGGGAAGGTCAAATTCCATGCCCCGTGACCATCCACACCTGCTTTTATGGGAAGGTCGATTAAGAAGGGCTACAAAAATTACTTTACTTCTTTGTACTCATTTAACAATGTCTTACCTTCCCTGGCCCAGTCACCCAAAATGAAGAGCCACTTACCCGTGGGTCAAAGCAATTTTCACAAATCCTTTCCGCTGGCGTATGAACAGAGTGAACTTCCCGGGATGGGCATCTAATGACTCCGCTGCACCCCCAAGGACAATGACTGAAATGTTTCCACCTCCTTCCTTGCTCAGCACGTGGGACACACTTTTCTTGGAAACTGAGACTGGCCCTTAGAGAATAAAACAAAAGGCATAACTAATTACCCTTTTTTAAACATGAAAACATTTTAATCACAGTATTTTATGGCATCCGTGAGCATCTAACAAGATTTCCTACGCCGCTTAGACTTGGAGTACTCTATCTACCTCGACAGCTCAAAGGCCGCTCAAACTCCCGGCTTCCAAACCCAAAGAACCAAATTCTTCATCAGAGTTGTTCCTTGTCCAACACTACCTATCGAGGTGAATGGAATCACCGTCTACCCTGTCACTCAAGTCAGAAACCAAGTCCATCCGCATTCCCCTCTTCTTCATCACCATGGTAACTCATCGTTCGTTCATTCAAAAGCATTTATTAAGCACCTGCTACAGGTAAGATACCCTGCTGGATGCTGATGATATGGTGACCAGATCACCATATGCAGCCTTCATGAGGCCGAATCAATCACTAAGTCTTGTTGAACCTATCAGCCCTTTTTCATACTAATCCCCTCTTCCTTCCTCCACTGCCACCGTCACTGTGCTAGCTGAGCCCTCGGCACGTCTCCCTGATCCCTGCCATAGGCCCCTTCCATCGTCACAGTCTCCAGGCTCCCCTCCCTCCAACGAGTCTTCTGTCTGAATGATCTTTCTAACATGAAAAATATAGTCAGGTCCCTCTTTTGCTCAAAGTCCCTCACAAGTTCCCATGGCTGACTACAAGGCAAAAGCTGCAGTCCTCTGCACGATATCTAAGCCTGCCATGATCTGATCTCTACTACCTGCCCAGCCAGAGTGGGGAGGCGGAGGGGACCTGAGCCTGGAAAGGCAGCGTGCTCTGGCTGACACCTGCTGGGTACACATTCATCAACGTGAGCCAGGAGGAAGGGTGTGGAGGCAGGACGTACAAGCACTTAGAGCCACAGAAATCTTTTCAGTGGGAGCAGAACAGGCACCTGACAACATCTCTAAAACCCTGCTGGTTCTTGACTAGGTGAGGTCTGGCACACGTGTCTGTCTGCCTTTCACACCCAGACAGCAGCTATGGGGGCAGGAGCAGAGTAGGTGGGCAGCCTCCGACCAGGGCCTGTCCTGGGAAGCAGGTTCTGGGGCTACTGAGGATTCTCTAATCTTAGACACAAGAGTAGCCTGAACCCCCACTAGCTATAAATTTGGATATTTTTATTTAGTTTTTTCTTTCTTTTTTTTAAAAAAAATTATTGAATTTATTGGGGTGACATTAGTTAATAAAATTATACAGGTTTCAGGTGTACAATTCTACATCATCTGTGTATTGTGTTGTGTGTTCACCACACTACGTCAAATCTCTTTCCGTCACCATTTATCCCCCCTTTTACCCTTTTCCGCCCCACCATCCCCCTCCCCTCTGGTAATCCCCAGACTGTTGTCTGGTTTTTCTTTGTTCTTGTTGTTGTTGGTGGTGTTGTTTTTCTTAATCGCTTCAACTTTCTCACCCAGCCTCTACTCCCCTCCCCACTGACAGCTGTCAGTCTGTTCTCTGTACCGATGAGTCGACTTCTATTTTGTTCGTTAGTTCAGTTTGTTCATTAAGTCCCTCATGTAAGTGAGATCATATGGTGCTTGTCTTTCTCTGACTGACTGACTTCACTTAGTGTAATACTTTTCAGGTCCATCCACGCTGTCACCAAAGGTAAGGTTTCCTTCTTTTTTTATGGCCAAGTACTAGTCCATCGTGTCAATGCACGATTTACTTAGTTTTTAGAACATCTTAGGTTATAGCAAAGGAAACGATCTCATGGAGTCATAAGCCAGTGAAAGGAGACAGGTCTCATCTCAAATGCCAGCTCTAGTGAGTGGCCGTGGCTTTGGGGGCACTACTAGGGAGAACAACTCTAAGGCTGATTATTAGCATCTGACGTGCAATGGAAAGGGTGTACCTGCGTCTCTCCTGCCACAAATTTGCCACACCTGCTCTCAGTTACACTATTCAAACTCACTAATGGCTGTACTTTGAATCAGCAAATTATATGAGTATGTGTAAATATATTTCTGTGCTTTTTTGAAATATCTTTAAAATTTTTAAAGTCTCTCTTTCATTTTCTTGTGTAAAACTCTCATTTGTTTGTTTATTTTAGTTTGTTGGATTCCACATGAGTGAAATCATATGGCACTTGTCTTTCTCTGACGGGCTTATTTCACTGAGCATGATGCTCTCCAGGGCCATCCACGCTGCCAGGAAGGGAAACTAACAAACAAAATAGAAACAGACTCACAGATAGATAACAGACTGACACCTGTCAGAGGGGAGGGGGTACGGGGCCGGGGGAAAAAGGTGAAGGGATTAGCCAAAACAAACAAACAAACAAACAAAACCCAGAAACTTATAAACACAGACAACAGTACCGTGATCACCAGGGGGAAGGGGTGGGGGGGGGGTTGGGAAAGGGTAGGAAAGGGTAAGGGAGGGAGAAATGATGATGAGAGGAGACCTGCCCTGATGTATGATAGAATTGTACACCTGAAACCTGTGTAATTTTCTTAACCAATATCACCCCAATGAATTTAAAAAGAAAAAAGAAAAGAAAGAAAGAAAGAAAAAATTCTAACCCAGTGTCTGCAAAAGAAGGAAAATGAGGGATATTTTTCCTCTAGAGCAGTTTGGGAGGTTTTAGCGCGCCCCCTAGAGGCCACATGCAGTGTCAACCTAGACTGGACTGAGCCCAAGCCCCTGTGAGAGAAGGTCCATGAAGAGGCCCCAAAAATCCAGCCACCGAGCCTGGTCCTTAAGAGCCTACTGATTTCCTATCAGGTATTAATGACAACAGATACTTGATAAATTAATAGGAAGTAATGAAAATCTGGAAGACCACGGAAAATTTTATCTCTGAATATGCCACTTACAGATCCTGAAATAGAAATTTTTCAAAAAACTCTCCACTTTTCTTTATATCCAAGAAACGCAAAGACAATGATAAACATCAAGCACTTTCTAAGTTACTGTAGTTTATGGCCAGTCAATAATTTGCTCAAATTGGAAAGCCAAACAAATTGAGCCTCTTCAGTTGAGGTGAGAGCTATTGATGCACGCTAGGCCTTCTGTCCACGTTCATACAGTATCATTTCAGCTGAATTTATTCCCAGAATTGGCAGAATTACAATTTTACTGATCAAAGAGTCTTCCACTGGTTCAGAGTAGCAAAATACAATGAACTATTATTTCTGACCCAAGTTATATGTAACGTGGGAAGCAAAAGACAGCAGATTATGTTTAGTTTACATACTACCATTACTTCAAGGCACATCAAAGGACATTTCTCATCTCTACTATTCATAGAAGTATACAAGGCACCTTTCCAAAGGTGCAATACGTCATTTATTTGACTCTGTCTACCACATGTGTATACAATACACTCATCAATTTATCCTTTCATTAAATTCACATCTATTGACCACCCCTAGGTTCCAGGCACTATGCTAGATACTTGGATGGGACAGAAAAAAAAGACAATCTGTGTCTTCCTGGCACTTAGAGTACAGTAGGGGAGGCAGAAACATCCAAATAGCATGCCAAGTGCCCAAATGGGATGAGGATGCTAAGAAATTTTAACCCCGACTGGGTTTGGGGAGGGAGGGACACTCTGTGTGGCCCTGTCTCCCAGAACACCACAGAAAGGGCAATCTGCCTTCACTTACCACTGCTCATTAGGTATTCTCGGAAGAGAGGACACCGGAACCAAATCGGAAGCACGTGAAGGTATGCAGTAAAGCCAGGAAACAGCTCCTTGAAGTCTGAATAGTTTGTACAAAAATTTCCAAAGGCTCCAGCCACAAGCACTCCATGGGGGTGAAACCCAAATATGTAGTTGTGATTTGGATCCAAATCCGTAGTTTTGATGAGCTACAACACATTTACATCAAGATTTTTTTAAAAATCTTCTCTGTTTGGTTTCCAGGAAGAAGCAAAAAGGCTCACAATTACTTCTTATATCGACACAATACAATATACAGATGCTGTATTATAGAACTGTACAACTGAAACCTATATCATTTTATTAACCAATGTCACCCCAATAAATTCAATAAAAAAAGAAAAAAGAAAAATAAATAAAGTATATTAGAACTTTAAAAAAAGAGGAAATAATATGATTTGTTTTTGTTCCCTGGGTTAGAGCTGTTCCCCCCATTTTTTTTTTTTTTTAATCCTCACCCAAGGACATTTTCTTTATTGTTTAGAGAGAGAAGAAGGATGAAAGAGGAAGGGAGAGAAACAGCGATTAGTTGCCTCCCTTATGCACACGCCTGGACTGGGGATAAAACCCACAACCTGTTAGTTAAGGGACAATGCTCCAACCAACTGAGCCACACTGGCCAGGGCCCCCAAATTTTTAACTATTTCCTGAGCCCAAAGAACTTCACAGTAGCCTTCTAAATTTTTATTTACCGTAGAGTCCATTTAGTAACTTGGGCTGACTTGTAGACTTTCTCCCTCTAGATGGGGAAAAGCTTGAAATACATGTCATAAAAATGTTTCATTCTTCTCTCAGCTCAAAGTCATACCATATAAAACAAGTCTACTCACATGAATTGGAAAATAGTCTTTAAAGTACTTCCAAACAGTCCAGTTCCTGACCCAGTTTGATCTCCTGCCTCCTTGCTCTGGGGTGCGCCAGTCAAAGTAAAGCCACGTCAAATATGGAACGTAGAGGAACCAGTAGTTGTAGATGATCAGGAGCAGAAGGATCCCAATGCACACCTCCGCTACAGGAAAAGGAAGAGCTCAGCGATCAGGGTCTGTTAGCCTCTGTGTGCCGCTGTCCATTCGCTGGCCCCCAGAGCGAGGTTTAATGCATACAAAGGGTGTCAAACTAAGTCTCGGTTCAAGAGGGTAATAAAACAAGACAGCAACGACATAGCATGATTTGACATTTACTGGATGTTTACTATATACCAAGTACTGTATTGTGCATTCTGCCAAAATATTGCCATTTAATTCTCCTAGGTCCACGGTATCAATGAAGCAGACCCAGTATTCTTAAGTTCCGCGTCATAGAAGAGACAATGGAGGCTTAGAGAGGAGGTTCGGTGAAGTGCCCAAGGCACAGGCAGTGGTTGATCTGTCTAAACTCAAAGTTTACGCCGACTCTCTGACCTGAGACAGGCGGGGGGAGGGGTGGCGAGCAGGGGATCACCCTGACAGAGGAGCTCCTACAACAGGTGTTCGCCTACCCAAGCAGCCGTTACCCATGCGCCCACGCGGGGGCCCATGCTAGTGACAAACCTCATTTGCAGGAACTCTGTCACCAGGGATAGAAGGATCACAGGAGGGATTCTTTCTCTCTTAGCTCATCAATCACTACTTGCAACATCTCACAATCACAGAGCAAAATCCAATTGCTCATGCACGGGACGAGACAAAAACTGACAACACTTGACCTGGGTAATAATGAGAAGAACCTATACCTTAAAGTAATACATTAAGCTAAGCCAGAGATTTCCTTTTTATGTCGGCGCTACATATTATGCCAAAAAATATTTATAAAAAGAGAAACACATCAACGAGAGGGAAGGGAGCATAAAGACATAAAGCTTGGCACACAGCAGGTGCTCAATAAATGCCAGCTGTTACTATTACTTTAAGGAGTGCCGCTGCCTGCTCCTCTGCTCGGAGGGGCTGCAGGCATGGCCTGGCGCTGACTTCAGTCCCCCAATGCCGCCCCACGCCCCACCAACTCTGGTAGAAGGAACTTTGTCCGGCCATGACCCATCATGGTACCAGAGGGACAGCAGCTTGATCTGTGACTGTTTTATACATACAGATTTCTTTTTCTGCCAGAACCAGAACATGCATGTGTATGTATTGTTATTTTTTTCTGGAAACATATAAATCAATAAATTTCCCAGTATAGATTTAAGCCAAACATAGATTTGAAAGCCACCCGAGGAGTGTGGGTTAAAGGTTGAAAGATGACATTAAGGAAGCGTACGCCCTGCACCCCTCTGTGGGTTGTTTTGTTGCATGCTTGGACTGCCCACAAAGTTTCCATGAGACCAGAAACGAGGCCAAATGAGTGCCCTCTGCCCTCATTCCTACAAGGATCCTCCCACAGGGTCCAGCAGAAAGTATGCCCCATTTTTTATTGCAAAATCTTTTATTACAAAACCATAAGCATGTAATTCTGTAAGATAACACTTTCACACTCAAGCACACCATATGACACTTCAGGTGAAATGTTGAAATTCAAAGTGTACATTATGACTCCCATGTTAGCACCCACCAACCACACTCTGGCAGGCCTTGCTTCGGCCGGAGCCTGTGTTTTGCTTCGTCTACTTCGCGCTCCTCAGATCTGAGTGCTGACAATATACCATCATTGGTTAATTTCATTTATTTTACAAAAACAGGCAAACAATGTATAAGAAAGGTAGGCAGGTCTCACTCTTCTGTACTGTGAACTAGGTCAGGTGAGCGAAGAGCAGGGAGGGGGAGAAGAGCTACTGAGGAGTGACCAGCTCCCACACGCAACCGCATTCGCTCCTCGCAGCCCTCAAGGTGCGCAGTGCCGTCCCCATTTGCAGGTGTGGAAGCTGAGGCTTAGGCACTCTATGTATCCAAAGGACTTGTACCTGGACCTGCCTAATCCCTAAACCCACACACTATTTTTACAAAACCAAAGCATCCCCAGTTAACAGTCCTAAGTATTTATTACATGTGCATAAGCAGGTTCATAAGGATAAAGACTCAGGCAAGTGAGATGTGCAGGGTTTGGTTGGTTTGTTTGTGTATTTGGTTTTTTAACTGTAATGATGGAGAAATGGAGACCAAAAGCAAATTATTTGATTTCAACCAGAGTCAAGTGCAGACCCAGAGACACAGTCCCCCAGCTGCTGAGTCAGCGTCGCACTCACCTGTCTGAGCACGACCTCCACCTGAATACACATTTGTATCTCCTTCCTATTCATCATATATTCTGCGTGTACAATGGATAAGACATGAATCTGGAATTGCACTTCTTATGTTGGAATCTTCCCCGACTAGATGCCTGTCCTGAGGCAAATCCTTTTACTTCTTGAGCCTCAATTCCTTCACCTGTGAAGTAGGCGAACAACAGAACCCCTCTCCAAGGACTGCAGCGGGACCAAACATAGACATGCTCCAGTGGCTGGCTCGGAGCAAGCCCGTGACAAATGGGAGCCATTGTTACAATTTTTATTTATTTTTTTATTTTTTATTTTTTTTACTATTATACATTGGGAGAATGCAAAAAGTAGAAGGGGATAAAATGTCACCCATATTCTGGTCATCTAACAAAAATCACTGTTAAAATTTTCCTGGTATGCACTCCTATCATCACTGCAGCATTATTCAGTGTCCAAGACATGGAAACAAACTTGGTGTCCTTTGATGGATGATTGGATGAAGATGCTATGGTAAGTATATACAATGGAATACTACTCAGCCACGAGAAAAGATGAAATACTGCCATTTTCAACAACATGGATGGATCTTGAGAGAGTACAGGGGGTCAAATATATGGAAAGAGGCTTTGAGTGGTGAGCATATGATGCAATATACAGAAGATGTGTTACAGAATTATATACTTGAAACATAATTCTATTAACCAATGTCACATCAATAAATTTAATAAAAATAAAAAACTTTCCTGGTAATTTTTTTTTCTAGGAACAGGTTATGTTTCTTTAACATGGTTGATCACACATTATTTTTTATTCTGTAGTTTATCACTCACAATGATCTCACATTCACTGTTTGGTATTATAAATATGGTAATATAACTTTTATCAATGTTATTTTAATAACACTTATCATTGCTAAGTCAACCATTACTTTCTTTTTGAATATTTGGGCTTTTAACATATTTTCTCTATAAACGTACATTTATATGAAGTTTCCCCACTTTTTGATTTACTTTCACAGGACAGTAAGTCGAATACTGGATCATTAAGCAGAAACATCTTTGTCACTTGACACACTTTAATATCTTACTATCTAAAGGAGCTGTTCTAATTTAAACTCCCATTCCACAAATTGCATACATTCTTTTATATTTCATATCATAAACAGCACCAAAATCAAATTTTTTTATTCCTTGGTCCTAAATCGAATTGAAAGCAGAAAACCCCACAAAAACTAGGTGAAGAGATCACCTCTACTTTCTATTTTTATCTCATTAAGCAACCCAAGGTAACATGATTCTTCTAAATTGGAGGTCAAAGACATAAGGAAGATACGAAGGCTATTCCAATACATTGTGTAGCTCTCAAAGCCAATGTTGATACCTGCTAAAATTGTCTAGATTCACAAACCAAGTCACACCGAAGGCCTGAATTTCAGCTGCCTTGACTTAGGTACCTACTGGGTGAAAAACCACAGGTCAGTGCCTACTGCTTATACTCCCATGGACCTGACTTTCTCTGCACTGTAGAGGTACCTGCCTTCCACTATTTTTTTATCGAGGTGAAATTCTCTTAACATAAATTAACCGTTTTAAAGAAATCGATCTAATAGCATTGAGTACATTCATAATGTTGCACAAGAACCACCTCTGCCTAGTTCTGAAGCATTTAGATCATTCCCCAATGAAACCCTGTACCCATTAAGGAGTTACTCCTTATTCCCTTCTCCTCAACCCCCGGCAACGACAAATCTGCATTCTGTTCCAAAGGATTTTTCTGTGCTAGATAACTCACAAAAATTAAATGATCTAATATGTACCCTTCTGTAGGCATCAAGTTTTTGAGGTTCGTCCGTGTTGTAGCATGTCCCAGTGCTTCCTTTTTATGGCTGAACAATATTGCCATCTATGGGTATCTCATGACTTGCGTATCCATTCATCTGTGGATGCACGTTTGGCTTTTTTCCTCCTTTTGGCTACTGCGGATGGTGCTGCCAGGCCCCACTCCCTTTACTAGTACCAAACGTCAGACACAAATAAGACGCAGCCAGAGCACATGCATTGTTATTACATTTAGCATCACACTGCGGTCACAAAACGACAAATGCGTCTTGATATGAGCTCATGGGAAATATATTCCCCACCACTGTTGTGGTTCTCTTACCCAAAATCTTTAACCTGACTCTACTCATGAAAGCATAATTAGGCAACTCCGGGCTGTGGGACATTCTATGAGATAATTAATTGGGATTTTAAAAAAAAATTTATAAAAGATTAAAGGACAAATAAAAGGTACAGAAACTGTTCACTTTAAAGGAAAATTTAAAGACTATTAGGGAAATCTGAATGGACTCATATTAAATAAGACTTGTATCACTGATAAATTTCTTGAAAATGATAATGGGATTGTGATCCTGTACAAAATCCTTCTTTTCGGAAGACACACTCCATGGTATTTAGGGATGAAGTGCAATGATGTTTACAACTTAATTTTTTACTTTCATATGGTTCAACAGCAACAATAACAACAGTGTGTGTGTGTGTGTGTGTGTGTGTGTGTGTACAGAGAGAGAAAGCAAATGTGGCAAAATGCTAAGAGCTGGTAAATTGAAATAAATACAATCTTTAGTGAACTATTCTTTCAGTTCTTCTCTAGGATTGGAAATATGTAAAAGTAAAAGATGGGAGCAATGATGAATCGCACATGTAACTGACATTCCTGCGCAGCAGGCAAAGCACTGCGGCCTGGCAGGGCGCCAGGGGGAACCTCAGAGAGGGGCTTACGTTTGCAGGAAAGACTTGTCTTCTAATCTCATACAAGTAGAGGTAATGATTGATCGATCCAATGACCCACTTTCAGCTTCATAGGGGCCTCTAAGTACTCCTAACTTTATAGAAAAGAAATATTCTAGCAAAAGCAGGGCTATTTCTCCACCCACCCCCCACCCCCCGCCAACAGACTAAAGACTTTGGCAAGGAGAGTGGCCAGGTCTACGGCATTTGGGAGGCGGAGGGTCCTTCGGTGTTTATGTGGGCACTTCCCATCTTGACAGCCCTGACATAGCGACCCCCCTCTGCTGTGCCCACTGTGTCTGACTCCGGCGCACTCACCTGGATACTTACAGTCAGTGAGGTAGTGCTGAACAAGGAAGTGCAAATGGAATACTCTCTCCTGACAGGGGTGCCCAACCTTTTGGTGTCTCTGGGCCACACATTAAATACTTTGCAACACGCAATCACAAAAAAAAAAAAAAAAACCTCATAAGGTTTTCAATAAATTTACAGTTTTGTGTTGGGCCGCATTCACAGCCATCCTGGTATGCATGTGGCCCATGGGCCGCAGGCTGGACACCTCTGCTATGGTGTCTGACCCATGGCAAATGCTCCATCGATGTTAGCAGAATTCGAAAAGTAAATGAGAAACCTAATTATCTGTGACACATGGGCTTGGAGGTAAAAGATGCTCAAAAAATGTTGGCTCCCTTTTTCAGTTGTCTACTCATCAGTCAGCAGGTTGATAGCACACAAGTTAGCAAGTGAAGTTTCCGTTCCTTAAATATTAAGATTGGATCACTGATCCAATAATCCCACTTCTGGGTGTTTAGCTGAAGGAAATGAAATGTCATTATCTCGAAAAGATATCTGCAACCCCTGTGCTCACGACACTAGCCAAGATATGGACACAACCTAAGGATCCACTGATGGATGAGTGGATCAAGAAAATGTTTCATATACACACACAGAGGAATATTATTCAGCCATAAAAAAGGAAAGCCGGCCACTTTTGACAACATGAATAGACCCTGAAGACATTAGGTCTGTGGAATCAGCCAGAGGGAGAAAGACAAATGCTCTATGATTTCACTTACATGTGGAATCTAAAAAAAGAAAAAGAAAAAGAAAAATCTTACTCATAGATATGGAGAATTGACTGACGCTTGCCAGAGGCAGGAATGGGGGTGGGGGTGGCGGTACGGGAGAAGGGATTAAAAGGTTTGCCCTTCCAGAAACACAAGGCTCCTGGTCATGTCACGTACAGCAAGGTGACTTCAGTTCACAATTCTGTATTATATATTTGAAAGTGGCTAAAAGTAAGCCTTAAAAGTGCTCATCACAAGGGAAAACATTTGCAACTATGTGTGGTGATGGATGTTAACTAAATTTACTGGGGTGATCATTTTTCAGTATATTCACATATCAAATTATTATGTTGCACACCTAAAACTAATACGATGTTGTAAGACTGGAAGACACACCCTGGCTGGTGTGGTTCAGTGGATCTAGAGCCAACCTGTGAACTGAGGAGTTGCAGGCTTGATTCCTGGTCAGGGCACATGCCTGGGTTGTGGGACAGGTCCCCAGTTGGGGACATGTAATAGGCAATCCATTGATGTTTCTCTTCCTCTCCTTCTCCCTCCCTTCCCCTCTCTCTTAAAAATAAATAAAATCTTAAAAAAAAAAAGAAAGAAAAGATTGACACATACTTACTATTTATCTCAAGGAAACAATGTTTGAGTTCACAACTAAATGAAACATTTTGCTATTTTTAAATATATCCCAAGGGCTTATAAATGTATTTCCTGATGGTGGGAAGACAAATGCATTCTAAGATTTTGATTTAGAGATCTGAATATATAGAGTTAATAAAATCTCTTTTCACCATTAGAAGTAGCTATTACAACAACTTACTTTAAAATTGATAATTAGGTGAAAAGGAATAAGTAAGCTTTTATCTTACTTTTGCTGTAAGAACTGAATTGCAGGTTAGTCCATTGGCTCCAAATATGGGGGGAAATAATTCCTTGCATAAATTCTGGTTAATATGCAAAGAATGAAAGAAAGAATAAGAAAACTACCATTTTTTTGCAGCCCAAATAAAAGAGTTAATTCAGGCAAGACTCATTGATAGAGACTCAGACCACTCGGTGAAGGTGGCACCTTTGCTTGCTGCATGTCAGGGACCTCCCCTCTGGCTGCTTCCTACCCGATCCCTCCTGGACACTAATCATGGGACGATGAGGCGTTATGTGCATCCCGACAGAGTGCGGCGTGAAACACCCAGCAGCACCTGCGAAGGTGCCGTGCCAGAAAGGCTTCGCCTAAATCGAATGAAGCCCTAACTCGAACTTCCATTTTAGAAAAAAAAAAAAAAAAATACAGGGAGTTGGGGAACAGGTTAACACTTCAAAAAAGCAATCAGACAAATCCTGACGATGCGACACTTCACCTGGCAGTTTCAACACTCCGCTGACAAGACAACAAATGAGAGCCCCGCTCAGTGAAAAGACACATAGCCACTACTACAACCCAAGAGTCTTGTTTCAATCTTGGCTCAAAGAAATCACCCATAAAAGTGTATCTGGGGCATAATTTAGGAAATGGGATTTGTTTAAAAATATGTTTTGCACAATAATAGATAATATGGCAAACTGTTAAAATAATTATAAATCCAGGTAATGGGTATATGGGAGTTTATACCCTTCTCTCTACTTCTCTGTATGTTTGAAATCTTTCATAATAAAACTTCCAAAACATATAATACAAAATATTATGCTCCTAGTAACAACATACATGTTAAATGCATGCAAAAAAAAAAAAAAGCATTTGAATGAACTGCCTGCTGAGCCACTGTAGTTCGATTCAAATTAGGAATTGTATGTCATGTCCAAGTCGTTAACTAGCCCTTGCCGCTCACTTCAGCAGCACATACACTAAAGCTGGAAAGATCCCAAGAAGATTAGCATGGCCTTTGCACAAGGATGACATGCAACTTTGTGAATTTCTTACTTTTTTTAAAGGAAAAAAGTTAGGCCTTACATTTGACCCCTGTAGCTCTCCATTCATTTTGAGCCATGTGACCTTTGACCTTGAGGAACTTACTTCACCTCCAAGCTCTCTCATCTGCAGAAGAGTGTGGGTGTGGGGGGCGGGGCCTGACCTCACAGGATTGCTGGAAGGATTCCCTGGGTGAAGAATCAGGACTACCGGATTAAACAGCTTGCCTTCTGGGTGACAGGGTGGTAGCAGTCATTCAACAAGTATTTATCTTGTACCTTCCATTGTGAGGCACATCCTAGGGACACCCTCACAGAGCTTGTAGACCAGGATGGCAATACAGACCTTTCTCAAGTAACCACAGATATACACGAATGCAAGCAATGACAAGTGCCATGAAAGACCAGGACAGTGCACAATCAGACATGTGCTGACTGATCAGCAAGCAAGTCAGTCCCCAAGTTCAAGCCACTACAGAGGCAGCACAGGGGTTAAAGCAAGGACTCCAGGGAGAACACTTGGGATGCATCCAGCTCCTCTACCTTTGGCTAGCTGTGTGACCTTGAATTTCACCTCCTAGCTCCCTCATCTGCACAAGTGCCATACAACCAGTGCAGGTATGAACAGTACCTACATCATAGGGTTGATGTGAAGAGTACACAGTTAATACCAAATGGTGCCCAGAATAGGGCCTGGCACACACTAAGCCCATAAGTGTACCTGTTCATTACCTCGATGGGCCCTTGGCCCAGAGCGAAATGGAGCATGATGCTTTCAACCCTGTCTGTTTGGCCTATGAGAACTTAATGAATTAATTTTTTTCCTTGCTTTCAGAGAGAGGATGTGAGAGAGAAGATCATCAATGTGAGAGAGAAACATCAGTTGGCTGCCTTCTCTTACATGCCCTAACTGGGGATCAAATGCAACCCAGGCAAGTGCTCTGCCAGGAATCGAACCCATGACCCTTCAGTCTATTGGATGATGTTCCAACCAACTGAGCCATACTGGCCAGGGAGTGAGTTAATGTTTTGAATTTCCTCTTTTTAGTAAACCCTAGCTGCACAACAGACTCACTCAGAAAGACTGTTAGAATGTTTTAACTTTTAAAAATATATAAATTATATATATGCACACCTACATATACACATACAAAATGCATAACTTTACTGGTGTGAGTACATGCAACAAAGTTTATTCTTGTATTATTATTTATTAATTATTGTATTATTTATTTGTATTAAACTGTAAACCTACTTTTGCCCACCCCTGTACGTACTGGATGCAGGAGCTCCATTCTGAAACAAAAGAACTAGAATTTCTAGGGACAGAGCCTGGGTGTCCATGTTCTAGAAGTTCCTCCACCAATTCAAATGTGCAGCCAGGGCTGGGAACCCTCAATCCAGGCAATCACAACATAAAGCCACTTCGAACGTATAATAACCTCTCCGGTGCAGTGACTTGACTACTGTTGTTATTGTTATTACTGCGGCCTCAACAGTGTACAACCCTTGATCTGACCTGACAGCATACAAATGATGTCAGCCTTCGGAAGCGTGTAGGTATCCACTAGTGTCTTTCTCCTCTCATGCCAGTCCGTGTCTCCAAGAGCAGAACAAACATTCAGACAAGAAGCGCTCCGCTAAGTGCCAGCTCCACCCTGCCTCCACCCCGGCCCCACTGTGACTGGCTCCTGTGTGTTTCTATGTGGGCTTAACTTGGCGACTGGTCAAAACACTCCTGGGTGGAATTATTTACAGATAGAAGCCACCCGACCCAATGTCTGGAGCAGCCTTCTTTGCATCCGGAAGGTCTTAAACACGGAAATGTTAACAGGGCTATTTGTCGAGAGGGTGGGGAGAGAAAGGAATCGGGTGTCAAAGACCTAGGCATTGTTTTTCCATTTATGAATCAACAATTCGAGAAATGAGCTTATCAATTTTGAGGAGCTACAATGCAATGTTCTATAGCTCCATTAGGTCATGGTTACATAGGAGTGCATACAGTTGCCAAGATTCGTAGGGCTCTAACACTTACAACCTGTGTGTCTTTTATTGTAGGTAAGGTACACCTCAGTTTAAAAAAAAAATAGCACAGGGAAAAATAAAGTTGGCAAGCAGGGGTTCGCTAGGAGTTTCACGTGGGGGAAAGAAACGGAAGAAGAGAGTCCCGAGTTAGCTCCAAACGCCCTCTTTGACCTGTTCGCTCTGGCTTACAGGGGGAGAAGGTTTGGAAGGTCTAAGCACGTCCTTGGACAAGGACTGTCGGGGAGGGAAGAGACGGAGTCTTAAGCACCACGGTGTTCAGACTGGATCTGGCGCGCCAGGAGCGCGCGGGGTTCTTACCGAGTAGCAGGAAGGACAGGACCCACTGAAACACGGCCGCCGTCTGCAGCCGCCGCGCCAGCGGGATGTTGAGCGGCGCAAACTCGACCTTCATGGCACGGCCCCCGCGAAGACAGCGCAGACTGTGGCCACCTGGAACCTCGCTGCTCTGCAGCGCCTGCGGGAAGTGCGCGGCCGGATCAGGGCCCCACGCAGGGTACCCGCCGGGCGGAGAGGAGGAGGTGCCGGCGGCCCCCGAGCGGGCAGGGGCTGGACTTTGGCTTGGGTGGGAGGGCGCGCCGGAGCCGAGGCTGGGGGCTACCAATCATGCGCGTCCGGGCCGCGCCGCAGCTGTCACGCCGGGGGCGCATTGGCTGGGCGCGCCCGGGGGCCGGTGACAGCGCTTCGCATTGGGCGTAAGGTATACCGAGAAGGAACGGCTGGCTGTCCGGCCAAGCAGCGTGGGCTCCTGCAACCTAGCCGAGTCCCTGGGATCACCACCAGGATCTATTGTTCAGCTGATTGATCACCTTGCGCTCGGCTTCAGCATCCGCCTTTAAACCCACCCCTTCCTCTTTAATCATCTGCGGCTGGGAAAGGGTTAGTTGAAGGAATCGCCTACCAACTGGAGGAAAACGCCGCGCTTAATTTCTCTGGGAGCCGGTACACATCTGTTTATTGGTCTGTGTCCCCCCCCACGCCACCAACAAACTGGGGGTGGGGGAACGGCGACCTGGCTTCCTTACTTTTGTGTCCGCAGATTCCTCCAGGAGTCCTGGAAATCTTTCACTTACTCACTCATTCAACAGATAGGTATTGAGTACCTACCGCGTGCCAGACACCATTCTGGGCGCTGGGGGTACAACCAGTTACCAAGTCATTCATCTACCCTGATCTCAGAGTACAAATTATGGGGGATGGAGGTGGAGGTGACAAACAAGCAAAATAACCACACAATTGGGTGTGTAACTGCAAAGCGAAACCCTGCTATGAATGACTGGGAGAAGGTGCTAGGGTAGACTGGAGAGTCAGGGAGCCTCAAGAAGCAATCTTGACGAGCTATAACGATGAATCTGGTCCACGCAAAGGGAAGCACGTGTGAAAAGGTCCTATGGCTGAAATCCGAAAAAGACCAATAGAGAACAAGGAGGAGTTTGGGGTGAAATGAGACAAAATCCAGGTCCAAGGGTCAGATCCTTACAGGGGTGTCCAACCTTTTGGCATCTCTGGGCCACACTGGAAGAAGAGTTGTGATGGTCCACACATGAAATACATTGCAGCACGTAATCACACACACACACACACACACACACACACACACACACACTCCCATAATATTTTAAGTAAATTTACAGTTTTGTGTTGAGCCGTGTTCACAGCCTTCCTGGGCTGTATGGGGCCCACAGGTTGCAGCTGGACACTCCTGCCTAAGACTTGCCACTGTAAGGTTTCAATTATGATGTGTTAAATAGATGGATGGATTTCAAATAGTCCCTGACCCTTTTGCACCTACATTTTCTTTATAAATGTTAGTTTCTGTATAGTCGAAAAACTCCAAGTGTCACATGGCTGTCAAAGCATTGCTAGAAAGAATTTGGAATAGGGGGAAATACAGTCATGTGCCATGTGAGGGAGATACAGCTGAGAAATGTATCATTAGGCAATTTCCAGCTAAATACATGGCCATGAGATTCCCTGTTATCAGAAGCCACTGAGGCAAAGTGCCCGTATTCTGCTGGAAACCAGAGGAATCCTCACAGCCCCTCCCCTCTCCTTCGAGTTTTTCCCACAGGCAAGGCCCAGGAATCTGCTGGACTTTCTGTTGCTGAATCATCCATCCCTGATCAGAGGACATTGTCTTGCAAATAGCTATACCCAGGACACCTGGGGCAGATCAGCAGGGTGACCCACCCTCCCCCGGGGTCTGCCACACTCCCTTAGAAACCCTTCTACCCTTTCCTTTGCTGCTGCAGTTTGCTCGGACTCAGCCCGCCTGATCAGTGTCCTGCCTCGAATAAAAGCCCTCCATGGGACCCTTTTGGCTCCCGGTCCTTTCTTAGCCACCTTGGCTACCTAACAATACACACCTAGATGATATAAGCTACTGCACACTTAGACTATGAGGTATAGCCTACTGGTCTGAGACATTCCTATAATAAAAAGACAGGCTAAGAGGAGTAAAAAGGAATTTTAATAACGTGTATACCTCCTGTATACGGTGGACTAAAAAGAAGACTAAAACTATGGAAAGTAACAGCCACAGGGTGATCTGATCATAAATTCCTAATTAAGCAGGTCAGGTTGGTAGACATGCCCCAGGCATATAAAATTAGTGAAAGGCTTTAAGCTAGCCCTGACCATTGTTCTGGTGCTCCTAGGCTAACACACTTTAGAAATACCAGAAGTAACCCCTTGAATGAGGTAATAACCCTCAAGAGAGCACGTAATCTTATAATCCAATCCCTTCCTTGTTTTTTCCCCCACCTCCACATACTATTCTTTACATTCCCTCCTAGATTTTAGTTGCGCACTCTCTTCCTTTCTTTTTCTCTCTAAAATCAATAAATAAAAAAAATTAAGCTGTAAACCTGTTATTCTTGGGAACATTTGAGAGCACATGTCATCAGTTTGATCAGGCTTTTATATAAAAATTCTCTACAGTTCTGGACATTTCTTACGTTGACACCTGCTTTGCATCAGGCATCACCTTTGTTGCTGATGAAGAAGTGAACTCAGCCATGGTCTCTCAGTCTTTAAGAATCCACTTGCACTCATTCCTTGACTCTTTGTAGAAAGGCTTCAATGTGTTGGCACTAGGTGGGGAGGAGGGTTGGTCTACAATAGTGATTAAGAAAGGTCTCTGTCCTCATGGGGCTCACAGTCTAGTGGGAGAAGCAGAAAATGAACACATAAATATAGCCAAATGTGTGCCAATGCCCTGACAGAAACATACAGGTTCCAGTGATTGGGAATAATGAGCACCTGTGTAGAGCAGCTTGGCAGCAAGAATGGATGTTACCGAACAAATGGACCCGTTGCGGGTGGGGGCGGGGGCTGCCCAGATGCTATTACCAAAATGACCCCCCCTTCCCCGGGGTCCCTCAGTTGTAGATCCTTTGCCTGCCGCCCTTAGAATTATGGCTCCGAATGGCAGAGTTTGGTGAAAAGGAAAGGAACTATTTATTCAAAAGTTACACAGGTTTGATTAATGACTAAATGGCGCTCATAAACCTCAAAATCCCTTCAAAACAATCACCAGCACACACACAGTCCTGCTTTCCCACCTTTGCCCAGTTAGGTCAGTCAGGCCAGTCAGGGGTACCATCCTTCACCATCCTTCAGAAGAAAAAGAACAGAAGTCCGAGGCTCGGCTAGGCAGGCCTCTCGCGGTTCTCAGCACCATCCGCTGCGTCCCCGCGATCTCCTGCTCTTAATCCATAACCATGTGGCACCTTCTCATGGCCCACTAGCAAGAGTCTTTTCTCCCCTTTTTCTTCCCACGTGGTGTTCACATTGTTCCCCAGAGTCTGTGTCCTTTATCTCTCCCGCAGGCCCCAGTCTCTCCCCCTCCTCTCTCTGATACATTCTGTATTGTCTTTTAAACCTTCCTGATTAGCTTTGGTGATATGCAAAATAACCCTTTGCACGTGAGGAATGAAGCTATCCTGTTATTGACATGCAAAATGACTCTCAAGGGCCCAGCTCAAGGCTCCCATCCCCCCTTGGCGGCCTGCCCTGGGCTAAGGAGAATATATTTTTCTTGGACACCCCAATCTCTGGACCCCATCACAAATACCCCCTTGGGGGGCCCTGGCTGTGCCCTGTTACAGTAGGGAGACCTAAGGAGGTTATTGCGGGGTAAGAGTAGAGGATGGGGACTTGCTCTACTGCGGGTCAAAGTAGAACACAGAAGGGTTAGGGATCTGCATGGGAGATCTAAATGGTAAGACTAGTTGATAAATTGGATTCACAGTCTATTGGTAAAGAAGAACAAGATATTCAACTCCTACTCCTAATCACTTGGTGTTTACTGGACTGAATCATGCTTTTGTCACTTTCCCAGAGCCCTTAGCTGGTAGGAAAGAGCAGTCATTGTCCACCATAGTCCACTGAGGCCAAGCATGGACCCACCAGGGCTCAGGCAATGCAACAGCCCATCACCATTTTGATCAACAATGCACTCAGTCACCGGTTCATTTAACATTCAACACATTTATTTGTGTACATACTGTGTCCCAGGTTACTGGAGTTAAGTGATTATAAGAATTAAAATGTGAGAGAGTTTTAATTCATCAAGCTACTCAAAACAACTCATGTATAGCAGTTTAGTTGATTTCTGGAACTTAAAACTAACAGGAAAACATGAACCTTAGACATTATATTTTCAAACTACACCTTTTGTAGACTAGGGAGCCCAGAGCAGAGAAATGAAGCGATTTGCCCAAGATAACCTAGCCACTTACTGGCAGAAGTAGACCTAGATCTCTTTACATCTGTACTGAAACAGGAGGAGAAGCAATGTGGTGTGGGGTGGTGGTTTCAAACTTTGACTTTAGTAGAGGAGTTTGTAAAAAATCTTCAAAAAACTTGAATTTATAAAAGAAACCCTAGTGACACTTCTCTTGTTGAAAAGGAATGGGAAACCTGGGTCCCCCCCTCTCAGCATCATCCTCCTTCCCAAGGTGATTGTATTTTCAGCAAAATTAAATCGACATCAAACAGGCACAGAAAAACCCAGGTTGGAAGTCACTGTTTATTTGCCTGCCTTCCTTCCTTCCTTCCTTCCTTCCTTCCTTCCTTCCTTCCATGTGTGGAGGGGGGCAGCCTAATATTTGGATAAGTAATTGAATGGGGTCATGGCTAAAAAACCATATGTGACATACCAGCATTACTGAGTGCTTACTAGCTCCCAGGTATTGTGCCACATACCCTGTGGGCCATGTCTATTTTAAACCTCCCAACTCTCCCAGGTAGGTATTATTATTCAGTAACAGAGAAAGTGAGACCAAAGGTCAAATTATTTGTTCACCTACTAAGTAGAAGAACCGATTTCTGTCTTTTGAAAATAGGTGTGTCTTACAAAAAAAAGAAATACACATGAAAAGAAATTAGGTTTGTTTACTTCCAAGGCTTGAGCCAATAAGTGGCATAATGCGCAGCCCCTCAGATGGTGTCAAAGGGAAGAAACGTTGAAACTGCAGAAGAATGCAGAGAGCCAGACTTGTCAGAGTTTGGTTTGGAGGTTAGTTGTCCATTCAATCAACAAATAATTA